CCCCAAAACCCCAAAACCCCAAAACCCCATGAACCCCTTTGATAAAACAAGAAATAAATAAGTAGAAAATTGTAATAACTTAAATACATGATTGAAACTTAAAAGCCAATTAAATAAATGGGCGAGACTAACAAGTTAGCTCAGACTTAGCCAATTCAAAATAATTAAGTTTGGAATGTTAAGCATAAATTCATTTTGGTTAAGCCAGAAAACTCAAGGGAATCTACACCTTTCAGTTACACTCATAGAAGTAAGCATCCTCATCTATATTATTAATATAGGATTGAAATCATTTTAGAACTTTTAGGTTAAACAACAATAGATCGCGAGTCCAAGTTAGGCCTTAATAATAGGAAATAATAGAGACTAAAACCTAATAGGCAATTAACACAGAAAGATGAAATCTACAGGGTCTCAAATACAGTTTATCAAACCAGGGTTCAATTTGAAAAATCTAATGAGGGAGGAAACTCTATAAAGCTAAAGAGCATCCTCTGATATGAATAATTTGTTAAGTCCTAAAACTCTTTAAGTTGCATAATCATCTTTATAACAAAGTTAATTGACGACAAGGCCTCAAACTGAGCAATTCAAAATAAATCATCCAAGGACATCCAGAGCACATACTCGCTCATCAATGGATAAAAAAGAAACAATGTCTGTGCTTACTCCTCATGCTAATGAAAAATTTGTGTAGTTTATAAACTTACCATAAAAACCTCAAACTGCTAGGAAGCTCTTAAACCAACATAGATCCAGTTAATTGATTGATTTTGATGAAAATGGAGATGAGATTAGAATTGAACTTCCGGATAGAATAAAAGAAGACTTAATTGACAAGGAAAAGGTACAGACTAGATTATTAATTGAGTAGTTTAAGCAGAGTGAGAATCAAGAATAGTTTATTGATAAATATCTCGACTTTCAAAGATAGATTGAGCGAAAGAAGAGATTCAAGCTTTTATAAAATTAACATCAGTATGGTAAAATAATTGACAGTGAAAACCTATATCAAGATATAATCTAAACTAAATAGCAAGAGAAAGACTTAAAAAAGAAAGATAAATTTCATGAATCCAAAGGTTCAAAGAAAGAGAATGCAGAATAGACTGACGCAAAGTAATCTCAGGTAACTCTAGATAATAATAGGAAATTCAAAATGAAAGAGCATGGAATGAAATATCGTTCATTGTCAACTGATGAAAAATTATTTGAAGCACCTCTGCTATTATTCAAATCCTAATTAGTCCCCAAAACCTAAGACTAAATAGCAGATGATTTAACAATTGAATCTTTCAGAATTAAAAATCTCATGAAAAACTAGCTAGAATAAAAGAAAAAAATGGTCATGACCTTACACATCGATCATGATCATGTTAGAGATTTCTAAGCAATGGTCCAAAAGGTAATGCTAGAGCGCAGGGAGAAGTTCTACTCTTAAATTAGATAAATAGAAGAGAAGAAAGATCCTCTGTTATTACCAAATTTTTTGTATGCTATTAAACACAACAAGCTACAAGCAGTTTTCAACTACCTAAAGAATGATCCAGCATTAGCTTATGTCGCAGATATGGTAAGAAAATAAAATTCATTCAATAACTAAAAATATTTATTAGAGTTAAAGGACAGGGTTGCATTGGGCAGCTAAAAGAAATTATTGCGAGATTATTTCTCTATTAGTTAGGTTTGGAGCTGATCTTAACGCTAGAGATGCTGAAGGACGAACCCCAATTTACATGGCTGCAAAATACGATCATCATGAAGCAGTGAAAATTCTTTTGGGCTTAAATGCTGATCCATTTATAAAGTGCATGAAAAAATTAAGACCAGAAGATGTAACTGAAGAGGATGCACTTAAGATAGCTTTGAAAAAAAGTAAGATGTTTTAAATCACAGCAAATTGGACTTCTAAATAAAAACGCTAAGTCCACTTTATGAATCAAGGAATGGAATATCTTAACAGGCAGAGGGATGAGATAATGGAAGACCAGGCCAAGAATAGTTTTCATAGGAAAATGAGTATGTTTAAAAATGGTTAGACTGGCTCCGCAGATATTTCATAGGATATTATTTAAGGTACCCCAGTGCTAAAACAATCTGAGCCTGAATCACCTAAATTTGGCAATAAAGTATTAAAGAATTTTCTCCATAGGAGGAATACCCTAAAACGGCAAGCAACTCAAATGACCATCGAATAATTTGCCTCTTGATTTCATAATTTTAGCCTTAACAAAATGAATGAGTAGATTTTATTATTTATTTGAATAAGAACAACTAACGATTTGTTTTAAGATTTTTATTTATTATCAATTTATCGATGTGAAGAAGGATAATTATTATCTGCGGGGTTTTGGGGTTTTGGGGTTTTGGGG